ACAAAGTCTGTCCCCTTTCGCGTTAATGCAGTCAATGGTTTCGCTATGGTGGCAAAATCACGTATAAATTTTCTAAAATAACTCGCAAGACCGATGAACTGACGGACTTCACGTACTGTTTCGGGTGTTTTAAAACTTTGCACCGCCATTATTTTGTTATTGCCTGGTCGCACCCCGTCTTTCGTTATTTCATGTCCTAAATATTCCAATTGCTTTTGGAAAAAATGGCATTTACTCAATCGCAACGTTAAATGTGATGCACGGAAGCTCTGCAGAACTTTCTCGAGCACTCGCAAGCCGGATTCGTAATCAGTCGCAGGTAACAAAATGTCATCCATATATGCGAGAACATTTTCAAAGCGCAAATTTCCTAAAATTTGATTAACGAGACGTTGAAATACCGCAGGAGCGTTTACTAATCCAAACGGCATACGCAAGAATTCAAAATGTCCATCCGGTGTTATAAAAGCAGTTTTTGAAATCGATTCTTCATTCATGCCTACCTGATAGTACCCAGACATTAAATCTAAACTAGAAAAATATGCAGCGCCGTACAACCGATCCAGCTGATCGTCTACACGTGGAATTGGGTACTTATCTTTTGCAGTGATTTTATTTAAAGCGCGATAATCGATACACAGTCGTTGCTCCCCTGTTTTCTTTTTAACTAACAGAATGGGGCTCGCGTATGGCGAATGCGAATCGCGAACGATATCGTTTTCTTTTAATTCGTTTACGATTTCGCGTACTTTAATTCGTTCAGCGTAAGCGAGCCGATAAGGCCTGCACGTTACCGGTTCGTCCGTGGTTAATTTAATAGACATGTCGGTTAAATTTGTTTTTCCCAGTTTGTTCAGATTTTGCGCAAAACAATCTCGATACTTGTTCAGTAATTGTAACAGACTTTCTGTTACATTACTCGGGGTCCCTGGATCCACACTGACATCCTGCAATGTAAATGGAGTGCGAGAAATCTGAGTTGTCAAACTGAAATTACTTACAGGATCGCTGTCTTTTACCGGTTCCTCGTAGCATTTTTGTCCACGAACGATTGTTTGTCCCTTCCGGTAATGCAGTTCCTCCGTGCTGAAATTCATGACAGGCAGGACACCCTGGAGGCCGCCAAAAACACACCTGGGGATGACGTGGTTATGTCGCTCGTACTGCCTCGACGTCAGGTCCACGTAGATGGTACCGGTGTATGATGTTTCCACCTCGACATGTCCAACATGTTGCGGCGGGATCACAGTAGCCTCCTTCGCCCATACGGCGACTTTCGTCGGTTCGACCCCTTCAAGAGCCGGTAGATCGTATTTCTTCGACACCCACAATTTGTCGCCATTAATCACCAACAGGACATCTGGATGATTCACAAATGGCTGTCCAATTATGACCGGTATTGTTTGTAGGTCATCGGCAATAATGAAGACAGGGACGTCGACCTTCACATCCCCTACTTGAAGTGTAGCACTGGCTTCTCCGATTACCGGTGACACTCCGCCGGCGAACCCTCTTATCATCGCCCGGGACGGTTTATACACAATCTTAGCCTCGTCAGCTGTGCGAGCTTGTACTGTTATCGCCGAACTCCCGGAATCGACATAACCCCGTGTCGGACAACCATTCATTTTACAGTCCACAAAATACACACGTTGGCCACATTTGTCACTTTGCGTGGTCAATACCTCTTTCCCTTTAGTACTCTTCGTACAAGTTTCGGCCGTATGCCCTAAACGAGTGCAACGTTTGCACTCTATCTTGGGTTTCAGACACTTTGCCGCCATATGACCTACGCCATGACAATTATAACATCTTAACCCCTTCGTAGACTTAAGATCAGAGCCGCTCGTCTGGGGACGTTCCCCTCGGAAGTACCTATTCCGGTCTACACGACTCTCCTTTCTCGGCCAATGCATTTTGTGTTTCCCTCGTTTACTTTCGTCTGTTTCGTCTTGCACTCGAGACAGATACTCTTCATATAAAGCTTCTGGTGAATCATATCTGCCCGCTCGTGCCCCATTTTGCAAACTTACGTTCGCCAATCCATCTATTACGCATGAAACAGCGTCCTTTCCCGAAATATGGCAAACTTGCAACAACTCCATTTTGTTGTAATAGTACGTTGCCATGGTTTCACTGGGGTCCTTCATGCGTTTCAACATCTTGTGTAACGAGGATGCATAATCGGTGTGCTCGGGAAAAGCTTTCAATAAGAGCTTTTTCCACTCAGCCCACGGATAATTAATATGGCTGAGGCTATTGTAACAACTTTTGGCTAAGCCACGGAGTCCATTCTGCATGTGGTACGCCTTTTCTACGTCATCCCAACCGTGGACCTCCCCTAACTGGTCGATCTTGAACAGCCAGCGGGTAATCGACATATTCGGGTTGCCCGGAACAAATTCCGGGATACAGTCAGTTCTAGTAATGTACTTGATCTGGTTACCCAGACTCGTGCTCGTCCCTGTTTCCGTGGATCTTTCCCGGACCAATTTTTCCACCAGTCGTTCCAGACGTTCGATACGTTCGCCGGATCCTCCTTTCGCACGTCGCGTCTCCGAGCTCCGGCGAGTTCTCTCACTGGGATACTTCTCCCGGGGACGTTTAGAAGAACATCCTTCACGTTGATGTCGTTCTTCGTCACTTGAGGAGGTCGAAGGCTCACGTCGTTTTCTATTCCGGCCCATCCTCCTGTTGTTTTTACAAAGGTACCGCACTGTACTCTTGCAGTTATCACTACACTGCACGTGGCACAATCCCACTTCTGAACTAATATCAAATGATATCAAGTCCCCAAAATTACACAGGGAAAAGTAAACGCGAGAGCAAAATCAAAATACGTCTTTATTCCTCAAGAAGAAAGAACAGACTGCCCCCTTCACTGCTTCCCTTGCACCTTATCTAATGTTTATATTAACCGACGATAATCAACCCTCAGACGGCTGGAATTTCGGCTGGCGCGACATCATATCGGAGCACCAGCGAGGTCCCGTTGCTAACAAAAATTAGTTTATTTGGTAAAATAAAGAAAATAAAGGGCGGGTGGGTGGTGCTAGTATTTGAAAAATTCCGTTTTTGGAAAAGTTTTCAAAAAATCTACAAAAAAATTCGAATACATAATTGTCGACGTGCTAATTCGAAAAATATAGCGTGTTTATTGGTCTCAGAAAACTTTTTGAAATATTCCGAGCGAAATGTCAAATTTTTAAAGATTCTAAAAATTGGCATTTTTCAATTGGTGATTTTTGAAAAATGATAGTTATCGAAGAAATGAGGCCAAAGGTAACTTCTTAAGGTCGAAATCCACAAGAAAATGTCTTTGGCTAATTTTGAAAGCGGTTCAGAAATGGTCAGAATTTTTACAAGGAGGCAGCATTGAAAAATTGAGCTTTTGGAAAAGTTCACAAAAAAATCTGGTATGTAGATCTCCAAGTGCTGATTCGAAAAATAAAGCGTGTTTATGGTTCCCGAACAAGATTTTCTAAATATTCGTTGGAAAGTGAAATTTTTTCAAAATTCTAAAAATTGTCTTATTTCAATCGGTGATTCTGGAAAAATGACAAGAGTTAAATGAAGGAAAATGAAGATGATAAAGGAAATTAATTAATTTCTAGAGGTCGAAAGACACATGAAAATGTCTTTGGCTAATTTTGGGAAGTAGTCAAAAAATGGCCCGAGTTTTTATAAGGGGCTAGTACCGCGAGATCGAAAAAGACAAACCGTTTGTTGTAATTTAAATTTTTTTTATTAAATGTCAAATGGACAGTTTAAAATTAGAATTATGACACCTAGTTTTAAAACACATAAAAATTAATCAAAATCACCGTTTTCCAATTTTGTCCCATTTCTAAAGTAAGATTCTAACAAAAAAGCTTTAATTTCGTTTGATAGCATTGCAAATTACTTTTGTCATCGCGACGTTTAATAAAACATTATTTTAAACTAAGACAAACGGCTTTTCGTGCATGGCCAACTTTGACTAGTTTCTTTTTCGATCTCTCTGTATTTGTAAAAATAAGACTGATTTTGGCTAATGATATGCTCCCCATGAAGATGGAGGGCGGGTGGGCGGGGCTAGTACTTCCTAAGATACGACTGATTTTGGCAAATCACATACCTTCTAAGAAAAGAAGGGCTGGTGGGTGGGGCCAGTATTTGTAAAGATAAGACTGATTTTGGGAAATAATATACTCTCTAAGAAAATAGAAGGCAGGCGGGCGGGGCTTGTGTTTGCTAAGATAAGACTGATTTTGACAAATGACATACCCTCTAAGAAAATAAAGGGCGGGTGGGTGGGGCGAGTATTCGAAAAAATCCTTTTTTGGAAAAGTCTAAAAATTTACAAAAAATTCTAAGTAATACATAATAATTCTCGACGTGCTAATTCGAAAATATAGCGTGTTTATTGTTCCCAGGCAACATTTTCGAAATATTCCGAGCGAAATGTCAAATTTTTAAAAATTCTAAAAATTGCCATTTTTCAATTGGTAATTTTTGAAAAATGATAAGAGTTATCGAACCAATTGTTAATGCAGGCAACGGATTTATATCAGGCAAACATTGTTGTCAAATGGAATTTGATCAAATTATTACAAAAACAACACAACCATACAACTGAAATGGTAATTAAAAATGCATGGTCATGGGCGAGAAAATATTAACTAAAAGTTTTATTATTAGTTATTGTGTTTTTTAATTGTAAAAAACGTAGCAAAAGAACCAATTTTAAAATCATTATAACCCCCAAAATGTGAGAAGGATTTTTTTTACTATTTTTCCCAGACTCACCAGTTGATTGTTACGAGCGTAGTGGAGAGTTAATCCGCGATTTTCCAGACACCCGGAATTACATACATTAAAACCAAGCACAAGATTCATTTGATTTTAAAAAATTGCGGTGTGGGTGGACCTTTAATAAAAAATTAGTTTAGTGTTAGAGAAATATTTCATTGAAAATTTTCATCTCTAGCAACAACCACAACAACCTAATTTTTTCACAGTATTTTAGACGATGTAGAAATGTACGAGCAGCAGAACCCTTTCAAAATAAGCGACTTCATCGTGATGTCGTCATTCCTAAACACATTTCTCTACAAAGCAGTCCTAGGAAATCTGTTCGGTAATACACAACGCCACCCTCGACTCAACCTAACTCTCAATTTTTCCAGATCTAAAAACCATCCAAACCAACCCCCTTTTCCAGTCGTTGCACACACTACTAATGCTTCTGTACAGAAGAGACTGCCGCCGAACGTACACCCCTCAAGGCCACTGGCTGCTCAAGGACATCAAAGTGTCGGCGTTCATAGCCGATCTCGACAAAGGTCGCAAAGCGCCTCAACTGCTCATACAAACCATGCCACATATCATCCCCCACGAAGACCGAGTGCGCCTCTTCCGCAAATACATAACCAATGAAAAAACAGTACTGGGTTTGACCGAATCCGCGTGCGCTTCCCCACAGTCCACCTTGATCACCGTCCACAGGTGAAGAAAGAGCGTCTCTTTCCTTTACTTTAAAACGTTTCATCGCGATGTTGTAGGTCGAGAATTGTCGAAGACGGCTACCGCCAGTTGGCGCTCCTCCCCCCGCAAGCCCTCAAGGGCGTAATTAGAGTACGTTTCATTAACGAACAAGGCCTGGATGAAGCCGGGATTGACCAAGACGGCGTGTTTAAAGAGTTTCTGGAAGAAAGTATCAAGAAGATATTCGATCCGGCGCTGAATTTGTTTAAAGTTACGAGTGAGGAGAGGTTGTATCCGTCTCCGACGTCGTATTTGCAAGATAATCATCTTCAGTTGTTTGAATTTGTGGGGAGGATGCTGGGCAAAGCCGTGTACGAAGGGATTGTTGTGGATGTGCCTTTTGCGTCGTTTTTTCTGAGCCAGGTTTCTGGACAGACGGCTCAAGCTTTGTACAGTTGTGTGGATGAATTGCCTTCTCTAGATCCAGAGTTGTATAGGAGCTTGAGTTATGTCAAGCATTATGATCGGGACGTGTCTGATTTGGATCTCACGTTTAGCTTGGATGAGGAGTGTCTGGGGAAGTTGGTTACTCATGAGTTGGTAGCTGGGGGAAAGGCGGTTCCTGTTACGAACGATAATAAGTAAGTTGGCTAGCAAAAATCATTTCTTTTCAGTTATAATATAACAAGTGATATAATTATTATCGATAATATTTCGAGTGAAACCGAGCTGCAGATGTGCTGCTTCGGTTTCACGAGCCATATCTTCGATTATTAATCATATCACGAGTTATATTCAACATGAGAATATAATGAATGAACACATTTTTTGATAACAGAATTGATTTCGTCGTTTTGAGCTTGCCCCCAACGTTGGCAAGCCATAATAGACAAAAAAAAAAATATGAAATTCTAAAATTTGTCAAATTTGACAGTTTTTAAATTTAGGTAGCAACAGACCACAATAAGGCAATAAAATTATTATCGCTGTGATAGACATGTAACTAAGGGCATGAACAAATTCTATTGGACGAAATGAGGTCATGTGATACATGAATTATATTCTCAGTATAAAACACCAAATTGGGCAACTTTAGCAAGTTAATTTCTTATATTGAAAAGAAGTGCTATGTTATTGTCTGTTGATTTTTGTTTTAAATTCACCAATTTTGATTTATGTTGGTAATATACAGGGCTGTCATAAATGATTCCTACTTCTAGTGACCTGTGAAATTTACAAATGTAGAATAAGTCAGTGCCCACTTGGATGCCCAGATCATTAATGAAAATTAGAATCGTAATATAACTGTATATAAGTAAATTTTTGTATTGTCGGGGATAAATTTTGATTTTCTTCCAAAACTCTGGATATCTGAGGTAAAACATAAGAACGGGTTAATAAACAACAAGCACATAAGCACTTTATTTTCTCAAATTTAAGTAGGATTTACTTTGCAAAATCGTGAAATGACGTCAACAAAGTGTTCATGGGGATGAACAAACACATTTTTTTATCGTTTAATCATTTGTACAATAATCTAAAATTCTTCGGCAAACGGTTCGCTAGTTTCAGAGGTTACGTAAAACATGAAATTAGCCTATCATCAAATGGAATGATAGTAAAAACGTATGAAAATAATAAAACCGTTCACTTTTTTCAGAATAAAGATCTTGAAAATAATAAAAAACAACAAAGAACAACAAATCATCAATAAGTTTATTTAGAATTAAAATTTCTATACATCTATTAAAACTATTGTGATTAAAAAAAAACTTTGAATTTGAAAATTTAAAAACCCGTGAAAAATTTGAAAACTGGCGATGAACTGTGGTCGTCAACAAAATGGAACCCTACGTTGTGTTTTAAAATGCCGGAATGCGTTCTAATGCAAAGTCATGAACCGCAAATGTGGAAAAGTGATTTTGAAATAACAACACAAAAATATGGAGGGAATAATAATTTTATTAAGTTTTATTAAAGGGCTGTATTTTTCGAGCTACAAAAATCCGTTATTTTTAAATACAAGATTACAAATTTATGTCACATAAATACCTGTTATTATGAAATTAACAAAATTCTCTAGATCACGACAGTTTGTCTAAAGTGAGTGGATGGCAGTTCCAAAGTTATTGTACTTCGCGTAGACAAATTTTAAATATTGACAATTGAACAAAGAAAACAAAAATAATTGAAATAAAATTGGAAATTTTGACAGATAACTAAATAATTATCAAAATTACAGTACATTAAAGCATTTTTACAAGATCTTAAATTCAATAAATCAAAATTAATCTATCAAGATTACATCGTGAATCGAAGTCCCCATTACATAATTAAAAACACATAAACACACTTAAATATGGTCAAAATCATATTCATTTCGCTAGGTACACACTTCGCTGTGAGCAGGGGCGGCTTGTTTTATGAGGCAGATGTGGCAATGCCTCAGCAAATAATTTGCTCTGTGTTATTATTTTTATTAATTCTTACCGATATATTTCTGAACAATAAAATGTTTTTTTTCTTATATTTAAAAAATAATTGTGAAAAATCATTGTTTGGATGGTGGGTATTCGCTATCCCCATAATTAAACAATGCCCTTCAACACACCATACAGAGGCAGACTCGAATCTTGCCTCTATAGTTTAGGCAAAACTGATATTGTTTAATATGTAGGTTATCCGTAATGCAATTTTTCGATTTTACTTTTTTCGTTTTCAGTTTTTCGAATTTTCATTTCCCGATTTTCAATTTTTCCTTTCTCCAGTAATTTGATTTCAATTCTTTGTGTTTCTAGTTTAATTGTTCGATTTTTTAATTTTTCGTTACTCCATCTTTGAGATTTACAAATTATAGATCCCAAAATTATTCTATTTTTGAATTTTGCGGTGTTTCAATTTCTCGAATTTTTAGATTTTCGATTTTTAATTTTTCGTTTCCTCAATTTTTGGATTTGCAATTTTGTGTCCAGTTTTTAATTCTTGAATTTTTAGTTTTTACAATTTTGGAATTTTCCAATTTTTCAGTATTTCGATTCTTCACCTTCTAAATTTATTACTTTTAGATTTTTCAACTTTTCGATGTTTCCATTTTTCGAAGAAACAATTCGAAAACACAAGAGCAACATGAAAAAAATCCTGCTTTACAATTTTTCAAAATTTCAGTTCGAATAAACTTGTTTTTTTTTTCGTCCAAAATGTAAAAATTCAAAAATGAGGATTTGATTATTTAAAAGCTAAAAATTAAAAAGACTAAAAGTTGAATACCGCAAATCAAAAAATTGAAGACGTGAAAATTTCAATAATCGTTTAATTCAAATAAAGAAAAATTAAAATATCTACAAATTGAAAAATCGAAAAATGGAGGAAACGAATAATTGCGGATCGAAAAATTGAAGGAACGAAAATTTGCATGATCGAAAAACTGTAAAATTGAATAATTCTGAATCGAAACGTTAAAAATCCAAGTAAGTACAAAATAGAAAAATTGGTCTAAAGAGTTTAGACAGTACTTCCCTCGCTGTCGGAAACGTGACGACTGCATGTCTATTATGTTTTTTTTTTTCGCAGTAGAATTCTTTATTTTTTTTGAGTCACCCGGTATATGCAAATTCAAAAAATATGACTGAAATGATAAATTACAAGTACAGACTCATCATATTTTGTATATTCTAGATAGGATTTATTCGGCAAACTTTTGAGCTGACGTCATCAGTTTTTTGTAGAAGATAACCAAATATATTTTGACTACAAATTTATTATGCTCTTTATAACCTTAAAACATTTGCAAGATTTCAAAACATTCGGTTCTGGAATTCCTGATTAAATCAATAAAATACGTTTACCCATTCATTAATTTTTTGGGTCACCCTGTATATGTAAATCCAAAAACTATTAATGGAATGATAAATCAGAAGAAAAGGCTCATCATATTTTGTACATTTTAGATAGGATTTATTTAGCAAAATTTTGTGGTGACGTCATACATTTTTTAGGGAGGATGAACAAATACATTTTGATCAAAAACTTACCATGCTTATGATAACTTTAAAACACCTTCAAGATTTCAAAGCATTCGGTTTTGTAGTTCCTGAGTAAATAAATAAAATAAATGTACGCATTCATTAATTTTTTTAAGTCACCCTGTATATGCAAATCCAAAAAATATGAATGGAGTGATATATCACAAGCACAGACTCATCATATTTTGTACATTTTACATAGGATTTATTTGGCAAACTTTTGAGCTGACGTCATCAAGTTTTTGGAAGGGATTACCAAATATATTTTGAGTAAAGATTTATGATGCTCTTTATAGCCTTAAAACATCTGCAACATTTCAAAAAATTCGGATTAGCAGATTCAAAATTAAATTGCAAAATGTTGTTTTATAATTTTGATTTTTTTTCCAAAAATCTGGACGTTCCGGGTAAAAACTCAAATACAATTTAAAACCCATTTACTATGTACAATTTTGAAGTGGCGTCATCACATTAGTGGTGGGGATGATTAGACAAATTTTGGTTAGCGTTTTACTATCTGCATGATATTCCTAATATAACTACAAAATTTCACAACAATCGGTCCAGTACTTTCGGAGATTATCTGTCTAATAAAAATTCGGGACGCCAGACAGACGGACAAACGGACGGACAGACGGACAGACAGACGGACAGACAGACGGACAGACAGACGGACAGACAGACGGACAGACAGACGGAAATGGGAGACCTATTTCTTCGTCTTCTAGGGGTCATGAAAGATCGAGAAAACGTAAAAGTAGAGAGTCGGCCGACGGACTCGATTACAACACTTCCTTTGCTTACGCTCGGGAAGTAAAGATTGAAAAGTTGATAAAAAGGAAATTTTAAAAACTTAAAACAAATTTGAAAAATTGTAATATACAGTAGCGGTCATTTCTACGGAACCACTCAATAAAAAGTCAAGTTGGTAGCCCTGTCATCTAGTACTTTACGCCGAACGCGGTTGGTAGCGGTAGTTGATATGGCAATCGAAACTAGCACAACACGAATGTTTCGGTTGCCCTCAGCTATGCCGCACTGTATCCCGTGCAGACTGTATGTTCTGTTTATCTATTTATTAAAATAAAATATCCACATTGACAATGGGGCCATCTAACCTGTCAAATTTTTGACACATATGTTTTCCCCCAGAAACCCGTCAAGGTCACTTACACTAAACAAATTTTGAAAATTTACACTAGGGAGTGGTTCTATAGAAAAGATCGCGACTTTATAACAAAAATCGGAAAATCGAGAAATTACAAATTCAGAAAACTATAGAATTTTTAAAAATTCAACAATGGGTGGTATTAAAAACATGCTCAGTCAATACAATATAAATAAACACAGCCAAAGCAACTATAAATTAATTAGTTAAAAAATTTTCGTGAAAATTTCAATTGTAATGAATTTGTTCTTTTTGTTCACAATTCAAAAATTAGGATCTGAGAAAATGAAACAGTAAAAATTAAGAAGTTGAAAAAGTTAAGAGTTAAATTAAAAATTGAGAAATCTAGAAATTGAAAACTACAAAAACTACAAATAGAAAACATGAAGACATGAAAAATTGAAAAATCGATTAAAAATTAAGGTATATACAAATTATTTAAAAATTGAGGAAGTGCAAAATTGAAATATCGAAAAATTGCAAATCAAAAATCTGGGAGACCGAAAATTAAAAAAATCAAAAACAAAGAGCTTCAAAAATTGTAAAATTGAAAAACTAAAAATTGAGAAAACAAAAATATCCAAATGGAAAATTTGAAAATCGAAAAATTAAAGCATCTGGAAATTGATAAATAAATAGACTTAACTGGAAAATCCAAAAATTGTAAATTAAAATATTCAAAAAATGAATAATTTTTAAAAAACCAAAAAAGGGTGCTATTAAAAAATCATCAGTCAAAATAATATAAATAAACGTGGCGAAAGCAACAACATGACACCGATGTGCTTTTGTCATTGTCGAAATTAATGCATATCTTCAATTAAAAACCATAAAGTTAAAAAATTTAAAAATAAAAACTGAATAACTAAAAATGACAAAATCATAAAACTGAAAAATTCGAAAATTCAGAGATCCAACAAGTGAAAAATCATAAAATCGAAGAATAAAAAAACGACAAATTGAAAAATCGAAAGTTAAAATTATAAATAAGTTCGTTTACAGAGCTAGGAACCATCTTTAACAAAATTTTATGGAACACTAACTTGATAATGATATTTTATCGTCGAAATAAAATTAATGATAACAGAAATTGAAGCAATTTTTTTCCGAAATTCTTGATATTATAATTAATCAAACAAAAATTGATTTTCTGGCATAGAAAAATTACACATTACACATTTTTTGACTTGTTTAATGTTTCTAAAATTACATTTTTTGACAAAAAATTTCTACGTGAACCCCAGAAAACGCAAGCAAGACAATATATGTAATTTTTTCAGTACTTAGATATTGGAGTATTTTGTGCTTTGCCTCATCAACTTCTCAACTCAATAATTTCGCGACGTACACACTTCGCTGTGAGAGGCGTGTCCGAAAATATTCGTTCAAAAATTCCAGTCGTAGAACACATAAATCATAACACAAAACCAGGATCAAATCCTCTTTCTTTCTTTGAGTTCACTATGACATTTACTTACTGAAAATTTTCAAAGTGAACCAGTGTTTAAAATTAAATCTTGAGTACTGCAATTTACTATTTCCAAAAATCTCGAATGAGAAACGGTTCAATATGGTCAAAATCATAATAATTTCGCTAGGTACACACTTCGCTGTGAGAGGCGTGTCCAAAAATAATATTTCAAAAATTCCAGTCGTAGAACACATAAATCATAACACAACACCAGCATCAAATCTCCTGTCTCTCTTCGAATTCACGATTACATTTACTTACTGAAAATGTTCAAAGCGAACCAGTATTTAAAATTAAATTTTGAATTTTACAGTTTACCATTTCCAAAAATCTCTAAATCATAATTTAGGTAAAACCATCCAGCCCTTTTAGACAATATCAAATATTATAAATTATTACATATCTCGCTCGTATAAAATTGCAAATTCCTTCGTTGTCATGCACGAAAGTAAAATGTATAGGGTGAATTAGCTAAAATGGGACACCTCGAATAACTTTTTTATTTATGAACCGATTTTAATGGAATTTAGTTTATAAACAAAGACGAATTTATACATCGCTTGATTAACAGGAAATAATTGAGAGAAAGCAAAATAATTAAAGAAAGTCGTCACTTTTTTTTTAATTTATCTGAATTGAGAAAAAAATACTGTGCACAGTTTAATATTTATTACTTTTGCGACACATTGGAGATTTGCTTTCTTTCACTACCACTGACTGAATGAATCTGAATCTCGAGTGGGAAAGCGAAAGACTCATAAAAAAATGAAAATCATCAACATAACTGAAAAGTTTTTTTCTTTTGTGGAAACAGACAGGATAGACATTGTATTACCCCACGTTGGCCATCAACGAATGTAATTCAGAAAAACAGCTAATTTAGAAATTTGTTGCTGTTTTTTTATTATGTTCGTTGATGCTCGGCAAGAACCACGGGAAGGTCTGGGGCAAGTCTTGCCAGGAAGGGATAGGGCTGGGTTGGTTAGTTTTGGATGATGTTAATAGGGAGAAGTGGCACATAGGCAGAGTAAATAGGTGTAATATGGAAGGGTATCATTTCTCATGAAACAGAAGGTGACTTATTAATACTTAAAAATTTGAGTTGCATTGTCACAGATATTTGTGAGTTGGTGAATCTTTAATACGTGAACAGACAACAAACCCAGGAATAATAATCCCTATTTCAGGATTAATTACATACACCTGATGGCGCATTTCCGAATGCATGTACAAATCAAGGATCAAACCAGCGCGTTTATCCGCGGATTCCGTTCCATAATCAACCCCGAGTGGTTGTCTTTGTTCTCCACACCAGAAGTCAGTATTCTCCCATAGAAGTACCATAAATACAATTCAAATTTTAGTTGCAACGTTTGATCGCAGGCGACAACGTACCCTTGGACATGAAAGACTTGCGCAAACACACCCAGTATTATGGGGGTTTCCACGATTCGCACAGAGTCGTGGGGTGGTTGTGGGACATTCTCGAAAAAGATTTTACCGAAGATGAGAAAGGGATGTTTTTAAAGGTACAAAAAAGCGCACTTTTACTTTCTCTTCAAGTGTATATTTTTGCAGTTTGTGACGAGTTGCTCCAAACCACCTTTGCTAGGTTTTGCGCATTTGGAACCCCCGTTTTCGATCAGGTGTGTTGAAGTTGGTGACGACGAGGATACGGGAGACACTATTGGTAATTTTGACGATTTATAGAAACATTTATTGTGAAAAATCGTAGGGAGCGTTTTTAGGGGTTTCTTCACGATAAGGAAAAAGGATCCGCAGAATCGGTTACCGACTTCTTCGACGTGTTTTAACTTGTTGAAATTGCCCAACTATCAGAAAAAAAGTACTTTGAGAGAAAAATTGCGATATGCTGTTACGTGCAATACTGGATTTGAATTGTCTTAATTTTGAAGAGGAGAAATTGTTGACATATTTACAATTCATATCAGCGTTTTGTATTTTAATATACACATTTAAGGTAGAGTAATTTTAAGGTTTAGTAATTCTTGCTGTGTTGTAAATTTTGTTAGTGCCGTGATCTTTTCTTGTGTATTTATTTATTTGGGAGGTTTAAACTTTTGACTACCATGTGATTGTCTTTGTTGTCGAGTATAATATTAAATAATATATTTTAAAATAAAACATTGTCTTATTCGTTATACCCTAAATAGTGAAATTGTGCAAATATGCTGTATTATTGGTTGCCTACATACCAATAAGAAATTTCAAGCTTGCGTTATCAAACGGACAAAAATGTTTGAAATAAGTTTCAAAGACGCTTCAAAACTTGATAAATTTTTTATTAAACATTTTAGCTATAAAGTCTTTGTTTATGTTGTTTATTACTATGATGTCTCTGCTCGCAACAGTCCAGGGAACCACTTGGAAGTATCAAAACCAAAAAAGCACCCAGCAGAGTCTATCTTGAACAAATGTACACTGAATCCCTTCAACCACTGAACCAAACCAATGAAATATATATACGAAATGTGTTGAAAACAACGTATTAACAAAAAAGATCACAACTTGCATAAGCAAAATAATAAAGGTATAAATGCCCCGATGGCTATAAATACTGGTAACATAACAGATGAATCATCCATTGCGTACGGATCTGGTTGTTTAGGTCCGCTAGGTCGTAAATTTTTTGGAAGAATTTCAGGTTCCTCTTTGTACTCATCCATTAAATCGTGTTCTGCTGGAAGCGGAGGCAACTGCGGTACGTCTTCAAGTTTCCCCTTCATCACAAACATTGCATTAATTTTGGGATTATCCTTGTACCCCTTTATGAATTCCACTCTGATTTTCGCCCCGCGAATGTCAGATTCTTCGGAATTTACATACAGTCGTCCTGGAAGTGGAAATTAGAGTTTAGCTAGCATTTTAGTGTCAATACCTTTAGATATTTTAAAAGGGATATATTCGTCGTGGGCTACGCCTCGTCCAACCTTGTCAAAAATATCCAGTTCTGGAATAATAGTGTGGTCGCCATTAAGCACTACGTCAAATACTTTCTGGTTCGGCGCATTGAAGTAAACTTCTGAAAATTTTAATACTAAAACATAATCCCCGTCGGAATTAACAGGAATGTCGTATCCAAACGTATTCGTGTGGTATCTTTCTGTTTGATACAGTATGTAGTCGTTTGGGGACACCCTCCCAATTAGAAGGCGCTTTCCATAGTCGGATGGTATCCCAATTTTACCATGTAGGGGATCTCTGTCATAACGTATACCATTGGAGTCTGTATGAGCATCACCACCACAATTCACGGCATAAATAATCTGTCCTAGACATTCTATTTTTGGAACGCAGTATAGCACGCTCAATAGCAAACATAACCACAATTTCATGGTAAAGGGTGAATTGTTCAGGTCTCGCTCGTTTCACATTAATCATAAACGTGGCAAAAGCTTCCAATCTCTTTATCACCGGTACATTTGCGTGTTTTTATCTTTCGACGAAATTTGCAGGTTAGGTTGTATTGATCTGTCATTTCGATAACGACAGCGCCATCTGCAATGGAAGGGTGCGTCGACTCGTGTACACAGTGGCGTCGATGACAATTTTAAACCGGGTGAATAAAAAACCACATCATATTCATTTCTTTATTGTACATCTATGAGAACTATATAATTAAGACGCCTATAAGAATGCAACACACTATAACAGTACTATCTTTATAACAACATTTATAGAAAGAAACGATTTAGGCCTTGTAACAACCATTCTCCATACAAGCTTCACGTTCCAAAAACATTAAAAATCTTAAAGAAAAACTGTAACATACACTAGAAAGAACAAAATCGTATCGAGATATGTTCAGAACGCATTTTCAATACCGTCAATAATATTGTACTTGACTCTTGATAACAAGAAAAACGAGTCGTGGTAACTAACATGGAATATTAACGTCTTCTTCGTACGTTCACCGTCCTGCATTTATGTACTTGTCGAGTATATTTTACGAAAATAGGACAAATTTACTTGATAACATGACGACGTATGTATACTTTTGAAAAGTTTGTTAAAAAATGGAAGATTCGGTTCTTGTAGCTATATTGCAAGCAAAAGTGGATAACTTCGAAATTGACTTTTATCTTACTACAAAACGTTACAAATGCAATAAAATTTTCCCATGACTTGATATATTATTGACAGACATTACACACGAAGAACTTTAACTTTTGGTAAAGACAAACACTCAGTAAATAATTCTGTTTAAACCTACCCTAAAACTACTTACAAATAGATACACATTTACCATAAAATGAAGTCAAATCACAGACAAAATATTATGGTTATTCACCTAATATTATACACCTATTTAAAAAGTATTATTAAAAGCTTCAATTTAAAAGTTTTGATATTTTTTCTGTGTGCGTGATTCCTGATGTAATGTTAATTTTCGACGCTTTTTAATTAAAAAAAAAAGATAAGAATCCCCACTGTCCCGAAATCGACACGCCAAGTCTCACTCAACTGTATATACAGGGTGAACAGCGCATAAGAAATCAATCACGATTCTACAGAACGTCTCAGCTACTAATCTATCTCGATCGCGGAAAAACAAAATTGAGCCACCCTGTATATGAATTACTTGATGAAAATGGATGAACGATGATTGCGATGTTCCATACGATGATGATATAACAGTAAATGAATTAAATTACCGTTTTCGGTTACTAGAATATTTGAAACAACGTTTAGAATACACAGAGATTTAAAGTTGAATTCATTTGGAATGGCACTGTTAAGAGTACTGGAGAACAACAAAACGTTGCGTGTAACAAGTAATAGTGAATTTTTGACACAACCACGATGTATTTACTTTACAAAAACTAATATTTCAAAAATATATATTTGTATTTTGAGTTCCTTACTGTCTACACTATTGTATACTGTAACACTTCCTCCGAATATTTGTAACTTATTTACAACTAATCTTTATAAATTCACAACAAATACAAAATAAAATACATAATGTAATATAAAAAGCAATACTATAAAATTTTCCTGCTCTTCTGAAGAAGTAACCATCAAAGCACAATTTTGCCTTCACCCAACAGAACAATAATTAAATTATTGGTATCAACGTAATCAAATAAATTAAACACTTATCTCAAATGACTATGAAGCAGCCATCGCCTGTTGCTGCTCCTGTTGCTGTTTCTGTTTGAATATTAACGTCTCTTCGAATATTAACCTCTTCAGTTGGTCTTTTGGTAAGTCGTCCAGTTCGGTATCAAAACGGAATGGAGTTTCGGCCACGGGCTATTACATACAAACACGAAAAAAAAAACATCTTCCTCCAAATTAAACACGAAAAATACATACCTCATCTGCCGGATCATAATACTGTTCTAAATAAGGATGCGCTAACGATCCTTCTACACCTATTCTCCTGTGAGGATTAAACGTCAACATTTTATCCAAAAGGTCCAGCGCCTTCGGATCGGCGTTCGGGAATAGCTTAGACCAAGGAACTTTCGGTTTGTATGGCAAAGACTGGATGTAACTCCTCGCCTACGACGAAAATCGTCACTCTTTTATCACAACAAAACAACCGTTTTTACTTTTTCGTTTATGATACAATTGAGATCCTCTTCTGACGGCGAACCCAGAACTCCGAGAATGTGATTTAACTGATCAAGGTAGTGTTTTCCTGGGAAGATCGGCCTGTTTGATAACATTTCCGCTAAAATACACCCCACCGACCAAATATCTATGGACTTTGTGTATCCTTTTGAGTTTAACATTATTTCCGGCGCTCTGTACCATCTGGTTGCTACGTATTCGGTAAGGAACCCTGTATGATCATGTTCGGGATCGGCGACGCGGGCCAATCCGAAATCACAAATCTAAAAAAAACAACACACATAATTCTAAAAGAAACACCGCATTTGTATTAGTCGATATTAAAGTCGTCAATGTTGGACAGTTAAGCCTTGTTGTAACATGATAAACCAATCTGGAAGGATTTTAAAAGTGTTGTCCAACATATCTTTGAAAGGCACCACAGGAAAGACGAAAGTTTTTTTTATATTTGACAGTTTAGAAATAAAATAAAAATCTTCAATTTTGACGCAAATTCGAAACCGCACTGGGCAAGAAAAAGGTGGTGGGGAGAACCGCAGGAACAGTATAGATTAGTAGGTGGGTCAGAATTTATCTTCGGTGTTGTAGGGATAAGGATGGTTTGCGTTAATTTCATATTTTGTATTAATAACTATACATAAAATAAAAAAGGTTTGTAGCCCAAACACATTTACATTTACTTGAAAATATTTTGAAACTGAAGTGTGTTTAAAAACTGGATTTCTGTTCTTTTTAAGCGCGACAACTTCATTAAAATTTTAATGAGCACAATGTGTAATGGTTCCCATTGTTAAAAAAGTTCTTCGTATTTTTTCCGAAATTCGATATGAAAATTTAATGAAAAAGACAATTCAATTTTACCACCAACGTAAAACATATTTATTGATTTTTTACCTTTAATACGGCTGCTTGAGAATGAATATTTTTTCCTTAAATAAAGGTTCAATCAAATCGATTCATTTTTAATTATGTAAGCTAAATTAAAAAAAAAACTGTCTGAAGAAACACACATTTGTGTTACTACTTAGCGATGTGTGACGTCCAGAAGAAAAAAATGGTTTCTTCGAGTAAACAATTTACTTGCATGATAAATCAGTGTCAATATAACTTAACTAATCACCTTCTGACATTTGGTGTTGAAATCGTTTATCACGAAAAAATGATTTTTGACACTAATAAATGACAGATTCTCTCTCTCATTCGTTTAATTTTCAATTGTACAGCTAATGATCTTAAATAAAAATTGACAGTTATTGCTTGAAATAATCAACATCTAGTAAAAAAAGAGATATCAAAACCGCAAAAAGAGCAGTTTCAAACTGCCGAAACACAACAATGTCAATTTTACTGCTTAAAACAGTCCCGTTTTGTAATAAAGCTTTTGTTTGTATAACATGATTGTGCTTCTGTTTCAGTTCATAACAATAACAGCAAAACAAACATGTGAAATTAGCGAATTTAAAATATTCCATTACCCAAAAAGATTGTTATGTACATAAAAAAATTGCACACGACAAAAAACAGTTCAAAATTGTTTGCCGGTTTTACACTGAATCAAAGAAACTTTTAATCGAAAACAGCTTCCTATTGTTTTCACCCATATCGAATTGCTGAATTGCGATTTAAACCCTTTGTTTTTGATAACAATCGGTAAAAATAAACAAAACGTACGTTTCGTTATCATCAGAGTTACAAAAAAAAAGTCATAAACCCTAACTTACTTTAAGATCGCAGGTTGTATTTAAGAGAAGGTTGCTAGGTTTTAAATCCCTATGAAGTACATTTGCCGAGTGTATATATTTCAGCCCTCGAAGGATTTGGTATAGGAAGTAACATATGTGGTCGTTACTCAGTCTCTGAAAAAAAACACATAAGTAAATTATTTAGTGTTCCGCAGACATCTTCGCAGATTATAACTTGAACAATAAATTTCCAACTAGACTAACACATTTAAACTGAGAGCCGGGTAAATGAGAGCAAAGTTTGTTTATTTTGCTACCGTATTTACTAGAGTTAAGTTTAACTATGTTCTATCAAACTACCCTGATTATTTAGTTACCGCATTATCGGTAAACCGCTCCCGAGCCTGCCAATTACAATAAATTCATGAGCATCATTACATGTAATTAATGTGTGTTTTGCAATACTACACTGTAGCGTCGATCATATTTGACAACGTCCAGTTCAGGGTAAGTTTACACAACCCTCGTCCAATATTTATTGTTGATTTTCAATTTACGCTAATGTATGTAGTCGGATACTTGACAGCGCTCATAAAAATTATTAATCAATTATTATGATGCTCACTTGACGCAATACCACACGAAAATTCAACGACACGAGTTGCGTTGCAATTTGCCAGAGTAAATATTTGACAACGTTGTAATTGAAGTTTTAGAAAAATCTGAAAATCTTATTAAAATTCTGCTGATTCGAGCGTGTTGTTTAAATAAACCGAGTCCGCCACTTACCTGTGTTTTAAGAAGTTTGTAAAGGTCTGTTTCCATTAAACATTGCACTATGTATACGTCTCGCATTTGATCTATCGTCACTGCTCGCAGTATGTCCCGTATGTCGATAATCTGAAAGAAAAAAAAACATGAAATAATTAATAATAAATATTAATTAATATTAGTAATAACGTGTTCGACTTCGCTACGAACGTAGAAGTCTCTAAATATCTAATAGTGACAAATTTGTTTACAAACAGGTAGTAGTTTTGAATGTATTTTGATATATAACTGATATTGGTTGTAGTATTGATCCACAAAATTTCCGTTCTTTATATAAAAAAAGGTACATACAAATGTTCCTAATGATGTCATGTTATTCAACGGATATTTTTATATTCATATTTCTCTATTCCCCTTTGTATAATTTATTTTTCATGCTGACGGTATTTATATAATTGGACATTTAAAGTTAAACGACAGGTAGAAAATATTTCAAAGCTTGAGTTTTTTCTCACAAGTTACCAAAAAAGAAAAAGTATTTGCAGTTTTTACAAAAGCACAGCTTTCTATCTTTAAAAGTACCGAAATAGCAAATTTCTGGATGTTAAGGTAATTGCAAATATTTATTTTAACGATTTTATTTTCTCAGTGATACATCATCTAAATGTGAGGACAGAATCAACTTGATGAATTATTTCCCAGTGGAGCTGAAAATGTATGTAATTTACCTGTTGGACTGCGATATCTCGGTTATTTGAGAAAATTGAAGTTTGAAATTTACAACGATTAATTAACACAAATAAAGTGAATGTACGAGAAGCATAATATCGCTTTCGATTTTTTCGGAAATGACATCAATTTAAAATGAAATAGGTAAATTTGGACATCTGGTATACAACCGTAATTTAAATTTTGTAGCAGAAAGGAATGGGAAGTGTCGAACGTTTCCTTCTAGAGACAATCTTTGAAAATAAATCTATTTTAACTTAAATATGAATGTTTTGTCAAACAAAAACTCATCTAATGCTATTTAAGCCAAAATAACGCTTCAAGCACATTTTGAGTACACATAGTCAGTCAGTCTGATGTGAAAGGTTGAGAATTTAGTTAGTTTTAGTTTAGTTGATGTGTACTTTATGGAAAATGGGGAATTTAAAATCGTGATATAAATATTTGACGCATTTAAAATAATACTAAAAGGAAATAATTTAATATACTGGATAGAACTTCCCTCACCCGTGGAACACAGTTCAAAAAATCTATTTCTTTCGAAAAATTATTAATTTTTTTGAGTAACGCTATATAAGTTATTCTTAAAAATATATACGGATTCATAAACCACAAGTATAGACGCATAATATTTAATATGTTTTAGATAGGATTTATTTGGCAAAATTTTGAGATGACGTCATAAATTTTTTGGGAAAGGGATAAACGGACAATTTCGATTAACGATTTACAATCCTTAGGGTGACCTTAAAACGCTTGCAAAATTTTACAATTAAATACAAAATTTTGTTACACGATTTTGATTATTTTTTGTCAATAATCTGGTCTACACTCAATACAGATTAATAAACCACAAATTGAGAACTATCTTATTCAATAAAATTACAAATAAAAAAAACATTACTAATTACTGTCAATTTGATGACGTCAACTCAAAAGTGTGCCGGATAAATCCTATCTAAAATGTATAAAATATGACCAGTCTGTACTTGTGATATATCACTCCATTCTTATTTTTTGGATTTGCATATACAGGGTGACTCAAAAAAATTAATGAATGCGTGAATTTATTTTATTGATTTAATCAGGAACAGCAAAACCGAATGCTTTGAAATATTGGAGATATTTCAAAGTTGTTATAATCATGGTAAATTTTTGGTCAAAATGATCACGTCACCTCAAAATTTTTGCTGAATAAACTCTATCTTAAATGTTCAAAGTATGGTGAGTCAATACATGTGATTGTAGATGTTTCGAAGTTATTGTAAGCATGGCGACTTTTTAATCAAAATCTATCTGTTTATCAGCCCCAAAAAATTGATTACGTCATCTCAAAATTTTGCCGAATAAATCCCTTCAAAAATGTGGAAAATATGATCGGACTGTACTTGTAATTTATCATTGCATTATTTTTTTTTAGATTTGCTTATACGGGTGACTCAAAAAAAATAATGAATGAGTCAATTTATTTTATTGACTCCGTTTTCCCGGAAAATTTTGGGAATACAACACTGTTATTTTTAGTATTACACTGCACCAATCCAAGCTGATATATGTGTCCTTGCAAAAATGTTGATGACGTCATCACAAAATTGTGTAAAGAAAAAACTCAACTCTCAATTGTAATGATTTGTTTATTCGTCGTAAGCGGAGCTTAACTGCAAAATACTTATTTCTTTACAAGATATTAAAAAAATGTTTTTGAGTATGGTGTTGTTCAAAGAATACTAGGTATATTAAGAACAAAAGGCAAAATATAAACCCCACCCACCCACCCCGTTTCAATTGTGATCATTTTTTTTATTCTTAGAAACTTGAAACACGTTAAAAATGGAAATATTTATTTTGCAATTAGTCTCCCCTTCTAGGTCTACCAACGAATGAAAACTTCATTACTATTTAGATCACGACGAATAAAAAACATCAGAATTGAGACAAGGCGGGTGGGCGGGGCTTATATCGTGCCTTTTTTTCTTAATATACATCGTCATCTTTTCACAACAAGAAACTTATTAGAACATGGTTAAAATGGTACTTTTTGCAAGGAAAATGGATTTTGCAATTAAGCTCCACCGCTCGGCTTACAACGAATAAAAAGATCATCAGACTTGAGATAGGGCGGGTGGGCGGGGCTTATATTTTGCATTTTTTTATTCTTAATATACATAGCTGTCTTTCAACAATAAAAAAATTAGAACATGGTTAAACTGGTACTTTTTTGCAAGGAAATATGGATTTTGTAATTTTGGGGTGGAGCCTAATTGCAAAATCGATATTCCCTATACAAATTTTAAACATGTTTTAAGTTTCATGTTGTAGTAAGAAGTCTACACATATTAAAACAAAAAGGCAAACTGTAAACCCGCCCACCCACCCTATCTCAATTGTGATGATTTTTTTTATTCGCCGTGAACCAAAGGGGCGGGAGCTTAACTGCAAAATATTTATTTCTTTACAAGAAATTAAAAACATGTTTTTGAGTATCGTGTTGTTCAAAGAATATTATGTATATTAAGAAGAAAAAAGGTAAAATGTAGCCCCCGCCCGCCCACCCCATCTCAATTGTGATGATTTTTTTATTCCTAGAAAGATGTCTCTCATGGTAATTTCTTGTATAGAAATAATAAGGATTTTGCAATTAAATTCCACTCCTTTGATTCTCGATGATTGAAAAAAAAATCATCACAATTGAGATAGGGTGGGTGGGCGGGGCATATTTTTCGCATTTTTTCTTAATATACGTAGTCGCCTTAACTGAAAACATGTTTAAAATGGTAAATTCTTGTACACAAATCTGGAACTTGCAATTAAGCCTCGCCCTTCCATCTGACAACGAATGAAAAATTCATCACAATTGAGAATTAAGATTGGGGCGGGTATGGGTGGGCCCTAATCTTTGGCTTTATTTTTTACTTAATATACACAGTATTCTTCAAACAATACGATACTCAAAACATGTTTTTAATTTCTCGTAGAGAAATAAGGATTTTGCAGTTAACCTCCGCCTTTTTGGCTTACGACGAATAAAACAATCATCACAATTGAGATAGGGTGGGTGGGCGGGGCTACATTTTGCCTTCTTTTCTTAGTATGTGTAGACTTATTTCGACAACAAGAAACTTAAAACATCTAAAATGGTAAATTTGTATAGGGAAATATCCATTTTGCAATTACGCCCCGCCCCTCGGTCTGAGAACAAATGAAAAATTCTTCACGGTTAAGATCGAGACGGATGGGTGGGGCTTCTCTTTTGGCTTGTTTTTTTAATTAATACATTTAGTTTTTTTTTCTATAACACTTACTTAAGAACATATTTCACATGGTAATTTCTTGTAGAAAAATAAGGATTTTACAATGAAGCTCCGCCCCTCGGCTTACGAAGAACAAAAAAAGATATTTTCATAACAAGAAATTTAAAACATGGTTAAAATGGTTTTTGCAAAGAAATATGAATTTTGAAACTATTGGTCGGAATGTAATTGCAAAATCGATATTTCCTTATCAAATTTTCCATTTTAAACATGTTTAAGTTTCATGTTGTGAAAAGAAGTCTACACATATTAAAACAAAAGGACAAAATATAAGCCCGCCCACCCGCCCTATCTCAATTGTGATAATTTTTTTTATTCATCGTGAACCAAGGGGGCGGAGCTTAACTGCAAAATACTTATTTTTTCTCAAGAAATTAAGAACATATTTTTTAGTATCATGTTGTTCAAAGAATACTATGTAAATTAAAAATAAAGGCAAAATATAAACAAGGATTTCAGGAATTTCAAAAAATTAAAAAAAGCTAGAGAAACCGGCAATTTAAAAATTCTTCAGGATTTCAAAAATTCCGGTGATTTCAAATATTTTAAATTCTAGAGATACCGAAGGTTAATGAAAATCTGAAAGTTCTAAAGATTATAGAAATTCTAGTGATTTGAAAGAATCAAAAAGTATAACAGCTTACACGGAATACATACACTACAAACTGCGAATTGTAAAGACACTTAAAGTTCTAATGTTCTAAATAATATAAAAAGTTGCAACAAAATCTTAAAAATTTTGAAGAACCTGGGGTTACAAATGATCCTAGCAATTGCAGAAAGGTTTATAAAACTCCTAGTAATCCCCAAAGTTTTCAAAACTTCCATAGATTGGAAACTCTAAAGGGTCTAAAGACTCTAAGGACTAATAGGTCAAAAGCTAAAATTCTGTTTCCAATACTTGAAAGATTCTAAAGATTCTAGAGAAATTCCAAAAACCCAACAATTCTAAAACTTGTAAAAATAGCGTGAACTCTTAAAATGACAATTCGAAAGACAACAGAAACAAAAACCTTAAAGACCTAAAAATCGTTAAGATCGGAAAAATGCTTACTTTAATTTTTATAAATCCTAAAAGCACTGAAGGCC